GCGCCAGATGAATATGAGCATGAAGTGAGAAGAGTTCTACGGATGGATCATGTATAAGAGGAGCAGCTTTATAATAATAATTCATAACTTCTTCAGCCAAATTAATCTCATTGATGGATTCAGGAGCATGAAGCATTTTCACTGCTATCGAATAGAGTAAGAAGTGAGATGCTAAAAGCCTTGAAAGATGTAATGTAATAATAGGTACACCAACGTTCAATACAAATAAACGGCTGTTTTTTGCCTTCCATTGTCCAGCGTTTACCAGCGTATCTAAAAAAGGTACGCTCAAATTGTGTGGCAGACGAAGGTGGCTGAGGGAGGCGTCGATTGAACGTACGGTTGATTCATCTATATTTTGGCACGAACGTTTGATAACAGAAGGCACATGGCCAAGACATATAAGGTGCATGTAGTCAAATACAATTTGATGAGGATATTCGAAGATCTAAAATAAGATTAAAATTAGTAAAGGACATTGGAATTAGTTCAGTTTGACGAATAAAATCATTCTAGATGGATAAGACGAATCTCTCAAACGAAATCTATTTTCAACTTTTCTTTCCTGCAGTCGCAATTTGAGAAGCGATTTCATATCAATAGGCTAAGACTTTTTTCAGCAAGTATTTTAATGATGAGGCTTATATAAGTTCATGAGTACTTGAGGCCGTGAACTACAGTATATAACAGAACAATAAAAGATTACATTATGAATCTCAAAAATGCCATTCGATATCATAGAACTCTTTGGATATTAATAGCTCGATTTCAACAGTTTTTTTTAATTTATCGAATTTTAAATGCTTTGCGAATGCAAAAAGATATTAAGATGTAGTTTTCACTATGGTATGAGCAACATTTTGAGAATCCATGGCACTTACTCTTCGATCCTACATTGTCAGAACTCTTATCAGTTAAGAAATCAAATATAAGTACATTGAAATCAGGTAGAATCATCCTCGTAAGTCTCTCAATATCGTGGGCGCAACTGTTCGAAGACTAACAGTCATGCCACGACACTTAAGAACATATAAAGTGATGTAAGAATTTGTAACCATAATGAGGTCACTCACTTAGTAAATCTGATGAGTCCTCGGAAGATCACCTTTAAAAAACATCGTGCAGAATTTGTACGCTAATACTCGAAGGAATATATAAAAGATGAGACACTGACTCACTTTTGCTGCGTTTATTATCTTTTACCCATGAAATTATTACAAGCAATATTTTAGTCTCATTTAGGGCAAAAACTACGAATTGAATGTAAAGAATTTGAACAATTGCTTATATCTACGATTTTCATTTGATTATATATCTATAATGGTAAAACTCGACCGAAATCACCGGCAACTCGTACTTTTTGATGACGTCACCGAGGACATTTATCTCAATATGACTTAACTTCTCTTTTATCTTTGAAAACCTAAAAAATGAATCAGAATTTTTCAGATCTGCAATAAAGTAGAGAGACCTTTGATGCCACCAACGGAAACGACTTTGCTATTAATTGATTTTTTTTGTGCTTCTTTTGCTGCGTCAAGATATGCACTATGAGTGCGAGGTGTTAAATTGTTCCGAGTAAATGGATAAACGACAATATTATTTTCAGCGCTCCATTCACCTTTGACACAAATACCGAAGATTTTTTAGGTATAAACAAGAATAAATTTATCTATTAAAAAAAAAATCAAAATTCAATGTTACGCAAGACTACTCAGCTGTGATAGGTATTATTGATTAGTTCAAAGTTAAATTACAATTTAGCACCATACATCGAAAGAGACTTTTGTTTTAATATCAATCGGTGAAAATATTTCATAATGAATAAAAGAATCATAGACATCGTTTTA